CAATCGCCGCGCAGCCGGCAGCTGTAATTGTCACGGCTTGCGCGCCGCGTTCTTGCGTACCATCGGGCGGCGCCAATCTTCCATACGGTTTGGATCGCGAATGATTAACCCGACAAAGCAGTTAGCTTTTAGAAACTTCTCAGTACTTCGCGCGAACGAAACCGACGTGTGTAACACTGCGTGAGGAAGACGTATGGTAAATTACGCATTTACGATCCAATGTGCCTTAAATTCACTTTTTTCAAATCTTCCCAAAAAATCAAAACTCTGAATAAAGATTTTTTTAGATTCTATATGTACTACAAACAATATAATCTATAATTCAAACACCCTTTTATCAGAACCAATACTCTAGCGCGGTCCAGATTTTCTTTTATCCAAAGGGAGGAGTTGCTGCAGGTGTGAACAACCGCCCGATTTCAATATTTTTTTTAAAAATTCATATTAAATGTAACATTTTTAGTATGTTAATATTTTTAATGGATTCAATTGATTCCTTTAACGAACCCGAAAATTCATGAAAACTGTTCAAATGTTTCATTGCCAGAGTTCTACGTGCACCGCAGCCCACGATATTAAATTTTAATTCTATTGAAGACTACTAAACTGTGCGATCTGCCCACCAATTCCGTGAAGGGGCAGAGTGCACCCCGGCCCTGAATGTCATTCCGAGCCGAGAGTACGCGGCGCGACTCGCCGCCCTCGTCCGCTGCGGATCGCGCAGTGGCGTGAGGGGCGCCGGTATTGATCTGCAGCTGGGGTGGCACCACCGCCGCCGCGCGCGCAGCCATTGGCCGGCCGCGGGTGGGCCCAGCATCACGCCACCCTGCACCACAACACCACCACGTGGTCGCGCCAGGCCGAGGAACCCACCGGACAACGGCACCTGGCGCCACGCGGGGCGGTTGGAGCGGCACTTCCGGTCGGTCCGGAAGTGCACAGCGATAGCCACCCGGCCGGGGAAGGGGGAGGGGAAGTTTGTAACCACCGAAAGGCACGGCTGGTTTCTTGATACGGAAATCTAAGTGGCTGATGAAGTAATTGCCTGATCTAGATATAAGAGGGGACCGCTTTTGACAGCTACCGCTGGTAGCGTGAACATTATATATCCATGTGCTAAATTGGTTAATGCGTTCGTTTGCAGTTGGTCCACGTGTAAATGCATTCGATAACTTCTTGCAATATATGACGTTTTTCCGACCTGTCAAACTAGTTCCTTAAGCCAACTTTAGCTCTAACAATTTACAATTTGGTACAAACAGGTTGAAGTTTTGATTTTACGCACAGCACAAGTAAATTTAACTAGCAACTAAACATTTAATTTTAACCTATCTTTACTACATGGCGAAAATTTCGTATTCATAAAGAAAGTGTCGTTTTCGACAAGTTCAAGAGTGTTTTAAGAGCATGATCTCTCCTTTGAGACTTTGAATGAAAACGTCAGTAATCCTACAAGTATTCTCATCGCGCATAGATTTACTCAAAAATGGTGACTATCGTACTTCGAAAATTGCAAGGAGCAAAAGAAAGATTGCGTTGTTGAGTTGTCCATTCTCTGACATCGATATCAGAATTAAAGCAAAAGAGGCGGAGAAAGGACGAGTGATAGCACTTCAGAAGCCAAGTACTGAACTGAAGAGTGGCATCTGCTTACATGATAGTCTTATCAGCCGTACTTAAAAACCAGCGTCCCGTGAAGTGCAGTGCAGTGCATTCCCAATGCATTATGAGCTCAAACTTACATTATTTTTCCTATTTTACAACCATTTACTCTGAAGTGGCGCTAAATAAAACATTGCCAGCAATTACACCATTCGTGACTAAGCGATTTACCAGAAATTCTGCCACTACTTTCGACACTATTAGCTAATCCCTGAAGTTTGTTTCCATTTCTAGCAACTGATTAAGAAACACTCGTAAAAATCTAAACTTTTCAAAAAACCACGAATTTTATTTGCCGATCAAATTTATTTCCGAGGATTCAAATATAAGTTCTGACTACAATTACACAGTAATACATTAATTGCCCCTTTGTAGTAATTAAAGCCGTTCAAATTTATTTTATTTATTTTTCATTAGCTTACAATAATTTCTGGCGCCTTTTCCTTTTTACTCCTAAATGACCTTTTGTTTAGAGCAGGTGGTGGAATTTACTAGGCAATCTTTCCGTGGCTACAGCGTTCTTGAATTAAACATTCACTCCTTTCAAGATTTGCATCCTCATACTGGAAGTTCGTTCTAACAGTGGCGTTTAAACCGCCGGCAGCATAGCCAATTTTACAATAGTTGGCTTAACAGCCGTCCACTTAATTCCCCTCCCCCCCCCATTTCTGATTTGCTTTATATTAATTCTTTATATAACTATTCTATGAATCTTACTCTCGTACCAATATTTTATTTAAGTTGCAAGCACCACTTCTCTCAGAAAAATGAGCACGTAAATTTATTTTTAATAATTTATTGGAAACAAAGGACAACTTATTTTGACATCGCTATAATACGCGTAGGTTTTCTCGAATTCTTTCTAATGTGAGGAGAGAACTTTAATAATTTCTTCGCAGCAATACCTTCGAATCCAATTTTATCTGGTTTGCAGATGCAAATTGATTCAATTAGACAGGAGGTAATTTGAGTTATCCGCCGTGAACGCTCGTCGATCTATTTTATACGTAAAATAACTTCTGTGCAGTAGAACAGGGGCTGGAGATTTCACAGCGTCCAAGAAACGCCGCGTTGATTACACCATCACATCGCGTCCCCGCAGCCTCCGGCAAGGACGGACGTGCCCGGCCTGTTCTCCAGAGAGTGGAGAACCGGCCCGCGAGCCGACCGAACGAGGTCGATGGCCCCGCACCACGCGCTCGCCTTGAACCGGGAGGCAGAAATAGCATTGGAGAAACTAAAGAATTAAGGGTAACCCACTATCCTCGATTAAATGCTTGCGACACTTCGCCTACTGGCGGAAGAACTTTGAAGACCTTGACCTCGAAAATTGTGATCGGTGATAAATCAAAGGCCAAATTAGAAGCGAAAGAGGCACTTCAACTTTCTTCTCGAGAGTTCAGAAAGAAGCTACCTGCCCTGTCAGCCTTCATCTCTAAACCATTTGGAATGTTGTATGTGAAACTAATCAAATCTTTTAATTACAATTTTCTAAATGCACTTTTCAGAGCATTAACCCTTAAAGCTCCTTTTGGCTTTAGATTTCGCTCACATTACAGCGTGAGTAGCAGCAGTATTTACTCTTGTGTGCATTTACACACGTTCCGTATTAAACACGTAAGTGTTTACCCCATGAACTTCAATACAATGTCCGTTTCATGTAATCTTGCATTTTCACGAAAAAGTTGTCACTAGATACAAATTAAGTAATTTTAGTTTGGAGTAGCTGAAGTTTACTAGTGCATGAATGTAGTGAACGAAGTAGTTAAATGTTTTCGAGCCTAAATAGAATGGCCTTTAACTCTTCTAAATTTAGTTCCTTCCATGTAAGGAGGTCGAGGCTGCAAAGTGCCAGTATAGTTCTAGATGCCTTATTGAAACGATAGCATCGTCTCCTATCTACCCTGTGCAGTTGAAACTAAACGAAAGAATACTGAAATGTGTAATAGTAAGTACTATAGGCGAACATGCACAAGTCTACTGGCTTTTCGAAATCGCAGCTAAGCGCCGCTTGCGGCGTAATATATAATTTGGTTGCTGATAAAAAAATGTAAATTCAATGAAACAAATTAAAATTAACTATTACCGATATCCAAGAAGATTCATTATTCCAAAACCACGAACAAGAATGAAATAATGGTAGTGAATTTAATTTCCTCTACTTCGAACGGCTTTTCCTTTCACGATTGTCCTCTGTACGTGAGTCACGCAAGTTATCGCTAACACTAACAATGAGAATAAAACGGCGCAAAGAATCAGAAGGCACGTAACGTAACATTTACACCATTTCTTTGAACAATTAAGATGTTTTAGGAGACTTTCAAAAGAAAAGGTCTTAAAAAACTGCGAATGCACCAGAAATAAAGTTTAAGTAAAAAAACGCAAAATAAGAATACGAATAATTATTAAATTTTCTCCATGAACTCTTGATAAGTTTTATAGTTTTCCAAAACTATCTCTGCAGATTTTCCTAACCGCCATAGAAATAAAATATCAAATATGTCGAGCAATATATCAAATTAGTTGGAATCTCTTAACTAATCACCAAACGCGTAACCATAAAAAAGCGCAACGCGATAACGACACCACTTACCCATCGCCTTCATGTATTCATCGAACTTCTCGCTCTTGTTCAACTTGTACTGTTTGCCGTACAACTCTTCCATAGTGGACGGGGAAATTCGAGACACCCTTCAACAAAAGCGGCGCGACACTTGCTTCCTTTCCGGCGAGCACGCGTGAACTGCCAAACTCACGGCCACCCTAGCTGTTTTCTACCGGAGGCGGGAAATCGGTTGGTGGGGCGGCGGCGGGGGAGGGGAAGTCTACGAGAAACCAATGCATTCACAGAGAATGCTTCACGCAACTCGACGTCATCGGGATATACTCTGAGCGAGCGCGGGGTGCGGCGCGTCGGCGCACGTGGAGGGGGAAACGGGGAAGTGCGAGAAGGGTGGAGGGGGAAGGAGGGGAGAGGAGGGGAAAAGGGGCGGTGGCGGTGAAAGATCCCGGGAACACGCAATGCGGGGCGGAAGGGTGAACTTCGTTGTTGTTCGTAGTTCGCATGAGACAGCAGAGATATGCGCTAGAGAACCGTCCCTATGAGATCATTGCAAGGAAATAAATGACTGGGCGGTCAACGGAACAAGAGTTCATTCACGTGAGGTAGACTATCACGTACGACTGAGGTCATGTGAGGGCAAAATGGAATTTTTCAAGTTCATGTTTACAACAGTTGTAAACAAATCAATGTTCCTGCTCTTGACATGACTAAAATTGGTTTTCACTGCCGTAAAATATGCCTGAAGTCTGACGGTCTCTCTAATTAAATAACATGTTGGGTCGCAATTCGCTTTCTAGGAAACTCATTCGAATAATAATATCATTGATAACATTAAATATTCAGTGTAATTATTATTCTAGAAAGAACTGGGTTGTCGACAGCATGGCTTATTATGAATTTGTCTCGTCTGAATTTTTACTCACATTGCTTTCATGATTCATGCAACATACTCTGAATTGCACTGTACATAGTAAAGTAGAATGAATTCAGATTAATATGTCATTTTGTGCCAGTGGCAAGCTAGACAAAAAAACGTGATTGTGTTTTTACGATTATCAAGTATTCTGAAAATGTCATGAATACGAGATGACTGTTCCATCCATGAATTAAACCTTGAGAAAATGTAATAGTTTTATATGCTCAAATTTGAATTCTAACCGCGAGATTAAAGCTTGACAGAGGGCGATCGAAGTTCTGAAAATCAAACTTAATGAAAAAATGTATCACTTTTTAATGAACGTGCTTCAAAATATTTTGAAAGTTATTTCCACGCAAATTGGGCAGACTCGTTTCTTTAAGCCTCCGCGAGCTACAAGTGTCAAGTGTGCATTTCGTAAGCTCATATGAAGTACTAGCAGTATCCACTGGTACTCTCTTCCGCAGTGCCCGCGCTAGGCATGGAAAAAATCAGATAATCGCCTGGGCCCCGTACGTCAAGGGGCACGATGATGAGACTGATGGGGGGGGGGAGGTACAAAATGGAAAAAGGAATTAGAACTCGAGAAAATTATCTTCGTTTTATAAATGGTGTTAGTCTGATATTTATTCATTTTTTCAAATATTTCTAACGTCGGACTCAATAAAATGAATCAGTAAAATAAGTTCTTCTGAAATTCATATTTATTAAATGGATTTAACAAGTAATTTTATTAAACACTAAACACATGTTTAAGCGTTTTAAGCTTACTGTGGAAATTGTATTATTTGATCACTGAACTACACTCTCATTTAAAAATATATTTTCAAAAACGTTTGTTGAAATAAAATAAATCTTATAGATTCTTGGCATATTTCACATTTTAAATTTTTTCGGTAAGGCCTTCGAAAGTGGTTGGGGCTACGTTTCCCCATCGCCCCGGGCCTAAACTTGTCCAGCTCCGGCACCGTTCCACGACGCATGCGGTGGCCTTGGGCCTTGTGTGTGCAGCAAACAGGCATCGGCGGAGGGTGGGCGTCTACACGGGGCGTTTCTTCCAGCCCAGCTTTAGGACCAGGCACGTCCACTTTAAAACTTCAATTAACCCTGAAACTACCTGTCGAGTACTGAGCCAGAAAACCTTACGCGTGGCCGCCTTTGGCTAACAATTAAAAGACAAAGTCCTCCCATTTAATTACTCAAGGTTTTAAAAATTAATGTATATTATTTATTGATGTAAATATTTTTTTTTCTGTTACGTCGAAAAAAGAAAAAACAAACAAAAAAATTATATTGGGAAAAATGTATCCAAGAAACATCTTTTCCTTTGTATTTCTCCACGACAAATTTCAATAAGATTGTGAAATATCTCCATCCTCATTTACCAAAAAACAACAAAAAACACCGTAAACATTTAATTAAAAAAACTATTTAAAAAGAAAGCTAATATTTTCTTAATTTTTAGAAATATTCTGGAAATCGGCATTTTTGCGAGACAACACCCGATTTTTGAAGATGGAATTATATACTTCCTAGAAGATTTTAATGAACGTTTATCACTCATACATTATAGTAAATGTGATCTTCAAACATAAATCAATATGAGTTATCCGTTTCATGAGACTTAAAGTATTTCAGTGATTTCTTTCTCAACCAATGAGAGAGACTGAAGCTCGAGAATGGATTTTTTTTATAACAAACGACCGACATATGGATAACCTCCCGCCCAGCAATTTAAACCTAGGACTTCAGAAGGTCACGGCTATCGGAAATTGAAGAGGGGAATCTGCAGTTGATGAGTGAGGTCTCATAATATTCCTCATAACGATGTTTTGGATCAATTACTGGGCAGCACATACGTCAATGTATTAATTTATTCCGATGACTAATTCCTGCCTGCCTTCTCTGCCATCGGTTCAATGTTCTCAGAACTAAATAAAACATGTTTACAGTGTCCAGATAAAAAAGATGATTTCAACGTACGGGATCTATATGAATTTTGAGACTATATTCTAAATTGTTTTATTTTCCAGTCTATTATAATCCTTTTATTACAAAAAATTTAAGTGCAACGAACCGAAGTATTCTTCATTTGCATTTTCGCAGGGTAACGGGATCTCGAATGAGTAACTCATCACTAAACACGTTTTCCCCCGAAAACTCAATCCAAATTTTGTTACATTTTGCTCCCCTATAATAATCAAGACATCTCATTCAATGGCACAAACATTTCAATTGTATAGCGTCATTTACTAACGAGTTTGCAAGATAGCCACTCTCCAAATGGTTAATAAAAGAATTCAATCTAGATTGACACATCAAAGCAGTTGGAAATACATCTATTCACAGCTCCGTGGCCACAGGCAGTGAACGAAGCGCTACTGGGGTATATATAAAATAATTGATCTTCGTCACAAATGCATAGGTTTTTGCGGGAAAAGTAATTCAAATATTTGATATTTAATGCTTTTGGCCCAGTGTCATAGAAATACGCACTATGCGCGTCATTCGGACAACTCAATAACATCAGTGGAATGCTCGAAGGGGCCCAGGAGGTCAGACTCCCCTTCGAAAGTCAATAACATGTGGTTACAAATGAAGCCTTACTGATTGCCTGTAGTAATGAAGGTCATTCAATATCTTAAGCAGAATATGTAATAAATAACTACGCATTAGCATATCAATATAAGTTTTAAATTCAGCATAAATGAAACATTCTATACAAGAAACATCAAGTCTGCTGAACACTAAACCGCTAGCCCCCCCCCCACACACACACACACAAGAAAAATTCTGGCTGGGCCACTTATGGTGTTCCGGGTATCCTTACTACCTTTTCACAACACGCCTTTCCTTGAACAAATTTCAATAAGATTGTGAAATATCTCCATCCTCATTTACCAAAACACAACATAAACACCGTAAACATTTAATTAATAAAAACAACTATTTAAAAAGAAAGCTAATATTTTCTTAATTTTTAAAAATATTCTGGAAATCGGCATTTTTGCGAGACAACAAATGCAAGATAGCCACAAGATCACTTGTTTTGAATCAACATATATTCATTTTCGTAAGCAATGGGTTCAATGTGTGACGTTTTTAAATATTGTATTCATCAGATTTTTTTTCTTTCTGTATTTCAGGTAACCCTTCAAGAAACATGAAATCTCATGGTGGTTGCCCAGCTTATCACTGATCCTGATTTACAACGCTTCTCGGATATTTTAAGTCAATGAGTGGCTGAGCCATACGAAGACAGGACTGCAGACCCTTATTCAGCCCCAAAGATTGCGACGCCTGCCAACTGAATAGCATTTTTATAAAAAGGTTTTTTTGTCACGTCGGTAATGGTTATAGAACGGTAAATCCAGTTAATTTTAATTACTGGAAGGGAATCAAGGTAAATGAAATACAGATAAATGAGCCATTTGTCGAACAGTAAGTTTTTTTACCGATTACCGATTTAACGAATTGAAACTTTCTTTCGATGTCATCCTAACAATATACTTTCCCAACAATATATATACGTAAGCTTACGTCACTGCCCTGAGGAAGCCTGCGACATGTCAGGCGAAACGTCGGCACCCCAGCCAACGACGCGGCGCCTCCCGGATAGCCGAGAACTCCCAACAATATAGTCTCGTTCAAGGTTGTTTGCACTTTCATTTTATTGCTTATTTCATCATTTATTTTGTCGAATAGAGTAAGTTTGCAACATTTTCGCCAGAACAACATTTCCGTTGATTGAAGTTTGTCTTTCAATTTTTTTGTAATAATCCAGACTTCTGCCCCGTAGAGTGTGGTACTCTCTATGAAGGAACTATATATGCGTTTCTGTGTCTTCACTGAAGTAATTGAGTTCCATAGCACTGGATTCAACTGTCTGGTGGCTATTTTTCCTCACACTTTTATTTTTCACTTCCTGTTCGTCTCTACGATCCGCTGTCCGTGTGTCTCCCAAATACGTATATTGTGTATAACCTTTAATTATTCCTACACCAGTCTCCAAATGATGGGCCATACCTCCCACTACCATATATATCCAGTCTCTCGTACATTGGTAAAAGATTACAGAAATCAGATTATAAAAGCAGAGGAGACCATCCTTGGAAAATACGATGTAGAAAGCAAAGAACTGATGTAGGCAAGTTCTCCTTTGTGAATCGCACTATAGTAGATTGGAACAAACTACCTGCAGAAGCACTAGAGGCTCTTCCTTCTAATGTAGCCAAATTAAAAAAATATGCTTCTTTCCATCTAAATCATCTCAAATAATACTGACATAATGACTGAGATATTTATCTTTATTATTATTACTTTTATTATTATTACTTTCATTGTTATTATTATCATTAGCTTTGGGGTCATTAGCTAGGGGGCTTATTGTAGTCATTAGCTTTGGGGAAATCTTTAAGTTATTATTTCTTATATTGTTATTGTTATAATAATATCGTCATGTCTCTTATACAGTGAAC